TTCTTATGATTTGAAAGTCAATTATGAGTTTATGGATTATGCAAAATTATAAGAAAGAAGTAAATGAAATGGTTAAGCGATCTCTACATTTTGCCTTCAATTGTCTGACAATCTTTCTGACTAACTACTATTGAGAGAACTGCATATATATATTATTTATTTTTCATAGAAAAATGTTATACTTTACTAATTAATATTATTTTTCAATATAACTTTTAAATTATAAGTATTAGAATTTTTAATTTGTGGATATTATTTTTAATTATTTGAACTTGGTTTTAATTAGTTTTGCAAAAAACTAAAATAAGAATTAAAATGAAGTCTTCAATTTAAACTCTCTCTCAAATTGAACAGAACAGATTTTAGAGGGGAGAATAACTTAATAACCATGAAATCAATTATTGATCTTTGATTGTTGATTTAATAATATTTGAGATTATTAAAATTTATTATATAAAAAGTTATTATTTATTTAATAGTAAATAAATAAATCAGGTTTTACATGTAATATAAATTAAGTTTTAAATATGATTGATTTTATATCTTATTTAGGCATATTTTATAATGTAAAAAGAGGTATATTAGTTTTTATACACATAATTTAAATATTTTGACAAAAAAAATTATCAAAAATTTGCTAAAAAGATGAAATTGCAAATATCAAAATCACAGAGATGATTTTGCAATTGAATTTAAACTTGAGGGACCAAACTAAATTTCTCCTGGTTGAGTTTAGATAATTTTTACGCTCAACGCCCAAAAAGAAGATGCAAGTGTAGATAATTTTTACGCTCAACGCCCAAAAAGAAAGATGCCCATTTCATGTAGATTTTTTTTTTTTCAAATTTCTGGGGAAAAAAGTTAACGGCAATTGTTCACGGTGGTCTCTGAAAGGACAAATGTATGAATATTTCTGACAAGAATCGTTCAAACGATTAGATTATTTAAGGACTATACGAATATGTTGTACTAAACAGAGTGATTTATTTTTGGAATATCAAACTCTGTCAAAATTTCACGAAAATTGTATCTTTAATACATCCTATTGTTGTTCCGATCAGTCCTAATTATTATTAAATTTAAAATTATTTTTATTAAGACTTATCATTGAATTTTGGGGATTTTTGGGTAAATTTTATGACCTAAGTATAATTTTTACTTAATTAATTTTTTTGATAATTTTGTGAATTTTTACCATTTAGTGATGTATTTTGTAAAATTTTTGTAAATTTATTAGAATACTGGGTCGTACGTGAATTTTGCCCAATTAATCAAGATAATGGAATACAAGGATAGAAAGGGTAAAAGAGAAAGTCTGTTAGGTGGTGTTTTAGCCAAATGGAGAAGCTTTGACTTGGGGAAATCCTGAGAAGATTTAGGCATATATTTTCAAGCATTAAAAAAGAAAGGTGGTTGGCGCAAAAGAGATGCACAAAACCCTCGAGAGGAGAAGGAAAAAAGGGAACAAAAATAGGTCACTGGAATATTTAGTTTTCATTCTTATTTTGATTTTTTTAAATGATAAGTTATAGGATGCTTCTGTCACACTTGTCTCTACCTAGTAGACTTAGCATGATAGCGGCATAACAACCAAACATCTTGCTGTGACAAATTTTTGACAACATGCCGATTATTATAACACATCATATTAATATGTATAACTGGTGTTGGCACCTGGAAACAATAATTCATTTTATCATATGCAATCATGCAATTTGTAAATAGTATAATGATGTGGGCTATAAGACTAGATGATGTATGCATACATAGCAAGATGAGCTAAATTTATATACAAAGTTGTCTAGATTCCTATTTATATTGCACCCCATTCATAACATTTTATACATACACAATCCAACTATCCAAATTTATACATATAACTAAATATTCTACAATGACGAAACCTCATGACAATATCCTTGGAGATCTGGTGCCACTTTTCTAGATCAGGCATGATGCTAGTGAGTGCAATGCAAGGTGAATGGGATAAAAAAAACTAGTCACGGAGCTGCAAGGGAAAAAAAGGAATGAGAATCAAGTCCCGGTGATAGCATATAAACAAATCTTAGGAGAAATAGTCAGTTTTTATAATTATATTATTTTTAGAAAAATTTCAGAAAGTTCCATAGTAAAATGTGTAGCATAATAATCATCAGCAAGGAAACATAATATATTTTTCATAAAACAGAACCAAGTGCATGAAAAAAAAAAATCAAGCATAAATCATAGAAAAGCCATCAAGAATCATAGAAAAGTTTTAAAGGATCATGGTATATATCTATATGCATAACTCTAATTTGTTGTGTACAACCAACAATATTTGGGGTAGTAAAACACAAAATCATAAAACATAATCTGGTCTCAATGGTCAAAACATGCAAGCACCACTGAACTGTATAAGCTGCACCAAGAATTGCCATTATTCCCTTGGCCAAATTAATACAGTTTATAACCTCTAGAATCTTCAGTTGGATCCACATCATGTAGCATATAATATCATACATGTAGAACTATCACTTGTCTCGGGTGGTTGCCCGGCATTTCAAGTCTAGTGTCGATGCACAAAATATCTTGAAAACGTCAAATCAAGTACATATAATAGAAATTAGCACATAGCTAAACTATTTTCTTTTTCTAAATATCAACATATGAATGGTTTTGCAAAACAATTATCAATTGTTATACAACATATTTTGAGAAAATAATCTGAGATTAGAAAGTTGTCACTCATAATATATGAAAACCTATATCTTGAATCCTGGAATTGGAGGTTCTTTACCTGGCTTGATCCTATCTCCCTCTCCTATACATTAAACACATGCATATGTAAGTAATATGCCATAAATATATATTGAAAATGTATGCCAAAATGATTTGGCTAACTTAAGTTTTAGTTTTCTTTTCCTTAAATCCTTTGTGTTTTCTTAACCTTCATCTTTTATATACCTAGCTTGTATTCCTTTTTAGCCTTAATGTGCCTCCATTCTAGCCCCTTTTCAGAGTCATATTTTTATCAAAATCCCTTTTTCCAAAATATCTAGGTTGCTGAATTTTTTTCCAGCTTTTACTTAGGTAACTTAAGTACTTAAGTTTAGAGTAATTTAGTCTTGCTTTCTTCCCAATTTTGTGTTTCCTTTTTAGTTTCATTTTGCCCCTTTTTATCCTCCCAATTTCCTGCCCAATTTAAGCCATTTCTTCCCCTCAAATTAGTTTCCTCAAAGCTGCAATTTTCTGCTGAAATTTTTCGGCTTACACTTATTTTTTTCTTAGTTAAATTTTGTATTGTATAGTTCAGGTTTGAGTTTCAATTTGGGGTCCTCTTTTATCCTGGTTTCACTAAGTTGGCTTATCCATTCCCTAAGTTATTTGTTGATCCCTGGTTTAGACCAATTTTAGGCCTCCAAAGGGTCCGGCCAACTAGGACCATAGCTACAGAAAACTTCTGCTTACATATTTTGTTTTAACTTTAACTCTACTTTGAATTCCTTCCCTCACTTTGGGGTCCTTTTTATCCTGGTTTCACTAAGTTGGCTTATCCATTCCCTAAGTTATTTGTTGATCCCTGGTTTAGACCAATTTTAGGACTCCAAAGGGTCCGGCCAACTAGGACCATAGCTACAGAAAACTTCTGCTTACATATTTTGTTTTAACTTTAACTTTACTTTGAATTCCCTCACTTTTATTGTGTCAATTCCCTTTTTACTTCCTCCTAACCTCTTTCCCCTGCTTCTCCCCTGTTCTCTCTCTGTTTCCAGCCCCCTAGCTCTCACCTAAATCCCTGAGTAAGCCATAGAAACATCTAAAATTTTCAGCAAACACAAGTTGTACACTTTTTACTCAAATTCCATCAAAGAAATACATGCGTTTTTCAACTTAGCCGTTGGGCCAACCCTAATTCAGCACCATAGCTTCCCTCAAAAACCACATAAAACCTCGTAGAAACATCAAATAATTCAAGGAAAATACAATTTCAGGTTAGTTCTAACCACACCTTGAAAAATTGATCTTAAAGGCCTTCCTTATGGTTTCAACCATCATGAAATTTCAGCAATCATTTCAACTCAAAAATGAAAATGTCTAATGGAAATTTCCATCAGAAATTTTGTTGAAAAATTTTCAACGGAAGAAATTTTTTGATGGAGTGAATTTTCAGTTAAAAATCATTTTCAACAACTTTTTTTCTAACAATATCTTTTCTAACAACTTTTTTAATTGATATGTATCTCTTTGTATGGTAAAAAAAAAATTGAAACATAATGTGATAGTATAAAAAAAACTTAATCATCAATTAAAAAGTTTTTTTTTTTTTTTTGGAAATTGTAAGGAAAAAGAAAAACGTGAAACACTGAGGTGCTCGTTGATGGTATAATTACTTACAAGGGTATTAAGTTTGCCAAGAGAAGATAGAGGAGACCAAGTAGGTAGAGAACTGAGGGAAACCTCATTCAAGTTGGGTATCAGAAATTGCTCACTATTCGTGAGCATAGGGATATGAATGAGCTGGTCACCTAAAGATTCATTTGCACCAAAGGATTTCTACTTTGTGATTTGTGTTCTTATTAGAATGGGATTTTTTAGATTTTTTCCAAACTTATTGTATTTGCTTCTTGGCTTTTATTGGTTAATTGAACTTATATTTTTGCCCAAATCAATATTGGTTGAGTTTAAATTGTTCGATGTTTGTGATTCCATTCTTACACTACATTTCCCCTTAATAAATTATAGGGGAGATGTGAAATCTGACGTGAGATTTATACAAATCAACTTATTGTATAAATAAATACCTGAATATCTAAGTAAAAATTAACATACTTTTAATATAAAATTTGAAACTAACAATAATGAATATGCACGCATAAATAAAACACAAATATTAGGATGGACTTCAGTTAAACACATAAAAGGCCATGGGCTACGGGTTTTCCTCCACATTAACGGACAACGAAGCATAATTTAAACAACATCAATCCAATACTAGTGTCAACAATTAGTGTTGGATTTTACAACTCAGAAGTAGGCACGCCATGGATAGTACATCCACCATCAACACCAATGACCTGGCCAGTGATGTAGGAAGCAGCAGGGCAACAGAGGAATGCCACTAATGATGAGACTTCCTCGGGCTCTCCTGGGCGCGAGATTGGAGAATGAGAGACTATGTTGTCAAGAATTTTCTTTGAAATGGGATCAAACTGCGGGGAGAGAAAATTTTAGAGTGGTACATGAATAGGATGCTTGCTTCTACGCTTAAAGCATTGTAAGAACTAGGCAGAAGTCATTGCTCATCTTTCTTTCTTTCTTTCTTTTTTTTTTTTTTTGGATCAGTTTTGTGTTGCATCTGCTAAGTAGGATGACTAGTGTTTAATAGTATGAACCCCAACGTCTGTCACATTATTTTCTCAGGGAGTAGCATATAGAAAGAACAATCAGTAAATCACAATTTCTATCATTAGAATGTCCAATCAAAGTTTGATATGTACAACATTATCTATAATATATTTCAAAATTTTACAAAAATTATTATTACTTTTGTTTTTTTTATGTAATTGATTTCTTGCACAATTAAAAAAAATATTTTTACAAATTTAGTTGGGTTTATTATTATTTAAAATATCTACTGTTAATTTTATTATTGAAACTCTAAAATTAATTGAGTAATTATATTAGTTATTTTAAAATTTTATTTGGCAGCACATAAAGGAAAATTACACAAAAGAACAGGGACACGGCAAGAATTTTTGGGTAAGGATAGTGGCAAAGACAGTCCTTTAACTTAATAAAATAATAGGGAATTAACAAACAGGGACGTGATGGTATGTCAGGTATAAAGCAAGAGCAAAATGGACATTTTGCTAATTGGGTAGTTTGGTCAAAACACCAGACAGGACATGCTAGTCATTTTTAAATTTTTTAGGGCAAAATTGTGGATTCGGAAAGCAGAAATGTATGGGGGATACATCAGTCATTTTGAAATTGGTACGAGGGTAATTTTGTCTTTTCAGTATGTTCACATTGGCTGATGGTCTGTGATACGTGGGCCAATCCACACTTGACATGTGGACTTACTACAGACATCCCACTGGTTTGCAGGACTAGAGTAGGCAATTCAGTCAGCAGCTCAGCCATGGACGGCAGGGGACTTCCAACTCAAGAGAGGCGGCATGGGGTGCACTCTGCATGTCCCCAACAAGTGTTTTTTTTTTTTTAAATAAATAATATAATTATATATTTAATATATTTTTAATTAAATGTATATTAATTTTAATTAATCTATAATTAAACAGGATAATATTTATTAAAATTATGAAATAATTTTTGTATTTTATTAAATATAATACATATAAGAGAGTATTTAAGTATAAATTATTATAAATTTTTTGTTCAAGTTGTAACACATACATACCTAATAAGTATATTCTTTTGCTTATTTGATTGGTTTAAAAATATTTATTTTATTTTGATTAACTTAATTTTTTTATTATTAGTGTGTCTATATATATCTCAATAAAATCTTTACATACATATATAAAACTAAGCATAATCGTATTTATGCATATCTCTCTTTGAAGAAAAGCGAAAAGGACTCCTATGACTTTGTTTTTGAGACAAGATGATCAAATATATCTTTAAAAAACAGAGGTAGAATCTCTAGTGGGAACCAAACACTCAAGATCTAATTGAAGTTACTAGAAAAGGCCATATAATTTATAATACCCAAGGAGGAGATTTATTATTTATTATTTAATAAATGAGCTCATATGTAGATAATACATAAATATAAATTTATATGGAAAGCGGGAAAATTAAGAAAAATAATAGTGCAATACCGCAGCTTTCTCCACAAGTGAGGTACTAATGACTCCTGGCGCCACCGTATTTATACGGATGTTGTCCTTTGCCCACTCGCAAGCCAAGCTCCTTGTAATTTGATTCATTGCTCCTATGCACTCTCAAAATATTAGTATAACTTTTACTCCTCTACCCGTTGCTCCATTTTTTAAATTTTTTATTATAAATATATTTAGCAACTAGAAAAAAGTAGTAGAGTGCGTACCATATTTCCTAGTTGCTTCAATCTTAGTTAATTTTAGTTCTTCATCCTTTTTATTGAAATATCTAACATTTTATGGAAATGATAATAATAAGTTTCTTTACCAGAAATTAAGTTGGCATACCTTTAGACGCTGCATAGATAGAAAGTCGTGGCAAGCCTACGAGACCAGCAATAGAAGAGATGAAGACAACGCTTCCCTTCCCTGATGCCCTGAAAAGTGGGTGTGCCAGCTGACATAGATGGTAAGCTGACTCAAAGTTTGTACCCATAATTGTTGAGTAATCTTCAGCAGTTACTTCTGTGATTTCTTTAAAGAGACCTCTCCCAGCATTGTTCACCTAGTCCAAAATCACCGCCCACATAAACCTCTTTTTTTTCTAAATATACCGAAAATAAAGAAAGAGAGAAAAGTGATCTGGGGATACCTCTATTCAGCCGGCCACATTAAAACTCAAGAGAAGGATAACTTAACTGGAACTTGGGCAGTTTTGTATATAAAACGGGAATGGAATCATGTTAAGATACATGTTTTAAAAGTAAATATGGTGCATTAAGCGTTCTCTTTCATAAACTATGATCCAGGAATATTTTTCCGGCCTGGCCGAATCGAAGCCATCGGATGCCACAAGTGAGAAAATTGTAAGCCGAGAGAGCGAAGCGGATCCGATCGAAGTAAAGCATAGCAAGAAAACAAAACCTTCGTTGAGTGATTGCAAAAAAAGTCGGTAACAACTCATGGTGAATAGCAGAATCAACGACGGCAGCTTCTGACATGGGTTTTCCAAACCAAGGTCTCCTCTACTTGACATCAACCCGTCAGCTCTTCTCCTGGTTCTTCGTCATACACTCAATAGAGTGAAGAAGTAGGAGCGGCTTAATGATTTTGGTCACCTAATCAAATTTACAACTTGGGGCTTTTTATCTTTTTCATAAATTAATATAAATCATTATTTAAAAATTAATTTTCTGATTTTTGAGATAAGAAATTACTGTGTAAATTTTTATACTCAATTTTTAATAATATTTCTTTGTCAATTGATAACATAGTCCTTGAGAAAAAAAAAAATAACTATAGAAAAGAAAAGTCAAAAAAATTTAATGAAATAGTTAGGATGTTAGGTGGGAGTGAGGAGATATAATGAGAGGAAAAAAAATAGGAGTTATGAAATAAATAGATGTTTAAATTAAAAGATAATTATTTTGAATAGGAGATTTGATTTTGACATAAATAAGAGAGGAAAAATAGGAGTTATGGGAAGGTAATTAAGTTGTAGTTTAACTAATTAATATGAATAATATAAAAATTAGGCACCTTAATTGTTATAATTTTTTTAAAATTATTGTTATAATAATAAAATATTATAAGAAATAAAAAGATAACAACATGATGTGCCAAATTAATTAAGACCTGCCATGTTGTTGTTTGACTTTAGATGCTGCCATGTTGTTAATTAAAACCCGCCATGTTGTTGTTTAACTTTAGATGCTGCCATGTTATTGTTTAACAAACTAGTTAATTGATGATGACCATGAGGGGCATGTTCCGCGAGGGAAAGCGAAATGTTAAGTCTTAAGTTGTGGAAAATAACAGTCACTGAAATCACTCTTCAGACTAACTAAAAAGAAAGAAAAAAATTTGTCTTGTCCTACAATTTTTGATCTTCAGAATGCAATCGGAAAAGTAGGACTGTGGCTAAGGGAAGGACCCTGTGCTGGGGAGGGGGTGAAGCTTGTCAAAAGTGGGCGTTAATCGCCGGCTCCCAACTTTGTTAAAACAGGGGGAAGTGGATAAGAGAAATTGCCCTAGTTTGAATTGTTAATAATTTTTTGAATGGACTAGTTTTCTGGGAAAAAGAAAATTAAAACTTGATGTGATAGTATTAAAAAAACTTAATTATCAATTTAAAAAAGTCTTAAATATTTTTAGAACATTAAAAAAAAAAAGTGAAACAAACAGGTGCTGGTTGATGGTATAATTACTTACAAGGATATTGAGTTTGCCGGAGAAGACGGAGGAGACAGTCTCCATTAGTTTCTCACGTTGAGCTCTTGACGACACATCGCAAACACATCCTGTCACCTTGAGGCCCTTCCTTCTCCACGCTTCTAAGCATTCTTCCAGCGCCGTCTCATTGGTCGAGCACGTGTGAACTGCCGCTCCCAGAAAGCATAGTTCTTCTACTATGGCATACCTATTTACCAACAGACAGAATGGGAGACTGTTAAAACAAAAATATAAACAAATTCAGAAAATAACAAGAACAAACACACACACACACACACAGACACCCACAGACACACACACACACACACACACAGAGGCAAAATTATTTGTCAAACTTATGTGGCCTAACAGTACATCAGCTTTCTTGGTTACTAGATCACCACTTGAACATTAGATATAAGTAAGGGTTTTATATATATGCCATGCATGCCTCGCATGCCTCGTCTTATTTTGTTAAAAATATTTTATATTTGCAATATTTATTCAGAATTACGTAAAATAAATTTAAATTGTACAAAACTTCATCCTAATTTACCACATTTGAGCAGTTACCTGTGCCATGCATATTTGAAAGTACGTATTTAAAATAATTGTAATTAATATAGTTAAAAATTTCCTTCCTAACTTGTGAGAGATACGTGTAATTGCATTATTAGTAGTTTGACGGAAATCTGAATGGAAAGTGAAGAGTACATTGATGGAAAGTGTAGACATTGGATATTATATTTTATATTTTAAGGGGTAAAATAACAATGAAATAAAAGTACAGGAGGTGGGAGAGTAATTATCCAATTCCTTTATAGTATCGTAGTTAATGCATTTTAGAGCAACTTCTTTATAAAATATGCTACTGCACAGATTATTATATAAGAAAGATGAAATATATATAGATTTACGGATATTTGGAATTTAGTTTTTATCAAATTTTCAGAATTCGTTTTGATGATATAAAAAAGCAGAACTCTTTTTATAATTTAGTTTGTGAATTTTTTAAATTTCAAAATGTGATATAATTTTGTCATCTCATACAATATACTTAAAAAAATTATGAATTATAAATTTATAAAAAAATAAAATACTCACACAACATGCTAATCTAAAAGATTTAAAATACGTGAGAAGTTAGCCTGTTTGGGGTGCGAAAATGTTTTTAATTTTCATTTTTGTTTCCATTTTCTAAAAATTGCTTTTGTTTTCACATATTCAAAATTTTGAAAATATGTTTGTTTGATTTACTATTTCTTGTTTTTCAAAAAAAGTAATGAAAATACATTTAATTTTATCTATTTTTACTAAATTAAAAATAAGACTCAATTGAATAGAATTAAAGTATAAGGGTATTTGGCAGGAGTGCAAGTGAAGAAATTTAAAATTTAGAGACTAGTTTGAGGATACGACAACAATAAGGACCATCTGAAAGAGTGTGTAACTTTGGAGGATCAAACTGCATATACGTGACTATCACCACCCACCCCCCCCGCCGAAGAAAAAAATTTCGAGGACCATCGTGATGACCAACCCCTTAGTCACCACTGTTAGATAGATTCAGAGCCGATGATTCAAGATCGGATAGCCGCCTAGATTTGGTCACTGTCAGATACGGATAGCCGCAATCGCATCATCGCTACTGTTGCGAATCAGTTTGTGCTCTTCGGTGCTAATTCGGATAGCTGTAGTTGCGTCGTAGTTGCTGCTGCAAATCAGTTCTTGCTCATTGTCACTCATGACTCGAGCCCAGACTTTGTTGCGTGGGTGGCTATTCGAGGTAGAATCACACAACCAGAGGCCCAGGTTGCTTGAAGCTACAAGTAAGGCAAACACAGAGTCTTTGGTAGGATTGGACAAAGATTCAGTATCAGTTGGTAGTCGAACGGTCAGTGGACGACAGTCGGATAGGTCGATGGAAGTAGGGCAAGATGATGAAGACGAGGAGCAAGGGAGAAGGAAGATGATGTGAAGAAGAAGAAGAGAAACATAGAAAAAACACGTTTTCAATTTATTTACAAGAATGCTGTTGCTTTTTCAGTTTTATAAAGAATATATTAAAAACACTTTCTTTTTTAAATTTTCAGCTATTTTTTAGAAATATTTTTGACAAAAAAATACTAACCAAACGAATTTTAAATTTTATTTTTTATTTTCAGTGGAAATAAAAATAAAAAATGACCAAACCAAACACAGCCTTTCTCAGAATCAAAAAGTCTCCCAAGGAATTTAATTTGACATTTAGAATCTCCTCTGTAAACATGCAAATCAAACTGAACGTCCAAGAGAGGCTTCTAGATTTCGAATAAGACGCTGCCTTGTCAGATGAATTCCAAGCCCCTCCTCAATAACGGCAAGAGCAAAAGAAATCAAATTGAGAAAGGACATGCATAGAGTTACTGACCCGATTCCGCGGGTGCCGCCGGTGACAAGAGCGGTCGTTCCCGCGAGTGTCCATCGCCCTTCTCTGCTGCCCATCTCCGGCTGCGCCTTGTTGGCCTCTCCTAACCTGAACTTCACAAGGCTGGAGTTGAATTGGTTCACACAACATATACATATATTAAAGTAGAAGTCCCAATTGCTAGTTTAATTTGTTGAAAATTTCTTCTGTTGGCACGTGAGACCAAAGGGTTCTTACTTTTATCGTGGGCTGCTTTCAAAAGTTTCTTCTGTAAAATGGTGATCCATTAGTAAATTATGGCTCAACTTAGTGGACAAGTAGAAAACAACAAGATCTCTTCACACGTTAGGCTTATTGAGTTACGAGTCTCACTAGGATTGGATTGATGTATCTTGCTTGCGTACGCAAATGCAGGAAAAGAACAAATGTAATTTTGGCCTCTTTTGGATTGTGCCAGCCAATGCCCACAATTTTTTAATTTATACATTTGATTTTTTTTCCTTAAAGTAAAAGTATATTTATATAATTATTTTTAAAAGAAAAGAACCAAACATTTTCACAAAACGTTGAACATGGAGAAGATTTTAGCAATCAACAGCATATAAGTTAAAGTAATTTGTCTCCTTCAACTGATGGTGACGTTCCAAAATTCTCTTATTTCAAATGACCACTTGTTCCACAACCGCCTAGTAGAATATTGAGTATGATTTTCACGTTACCGCCTTGGATATTGTATCAATTTAGGGTCCAAATCACAATTTTTGTTAAATTTTTGATAATTTGATTTAGTTTTTTTATTTTTTGATAATACTTTAAAAACTAAATCATACTAATTTAATTATAAATCAAATCAAACCAAAACTAAAATTTAATTTTTTATTATCAAATATGGATGTTAATCCATGTATATGTATGTGTGTATATGTGTATATATTTGTATATATATACAAACATACATATATATACACACT